TACCTCCACCTTCCTCCGTAAGAACCCGTCGTGGTTTCGGACACCTTTTTGCGAGGACACCTTTCGCACCCTCAAGAAGGCGGTGACTTGTGCGTCGGTTCTTTGTCTCCCCGTTTTCGATCACCCTTTCATCGTCACCACCGATGCGTTAGATTCTGCAACAGGAGTTGTACTTTCCCATGTGTTTCCTTCCCCATTTGAAACCCCTTACCCCCATATTCCCCACTTTCCTCCTCCTCCTGCTGACACTGCTTTTCGACTGACGATTACACTTCCACCACTACCCTTCACTGACAGTCCTCCCGGTACTTATTCTCCGACCATCGTGGAGGATGAGACTGTCGAGGCTTGTCCTAGGGATTGCCCGATCGCTTTCTACTCCCGTCAGTTACTGCCTGGAGATATAAACTATGTTGCCGATGAACGTGAGGTTCTCGCAGTAGTTTATGTTACCTGGCACTGACATCATTACTTGCAGGGGGTGCCCTTCATAGTGCGCACGGACAACCCTGTTCTCCAAACTTTTCTCACAAAGCCCAAGCTTTCCCCTTGACCAACATGCTGGTGGCTAGATTTACTTGAGTTCAGTTTCACCACTTAGCCTATCAAGGGTGAAACGAACCGCGCGGTTGATGCATTGTCCTGTCGTCCTCATCAGGAACCCATCTACCTTGCTGCCATCTCGGTCACCACTGTTGCTCCTCCGATGATCGACACATATCGCACTCAGTACTGCCATTGCCCAGACCATCACGCCATCTACACGACACTCCGACGTGGCACGACCGTTCCTTCATACTCTCTTAGTGAGAATGGTCTCGTGTATTGGCATGGTCAATCTGGTCAGCCTGAACCACGTATATGCGTTCCCTCCACTAGACAGCTCCGCGTCCAGGCCGTAGTAAAGTTCCATGACCAGACAAATGCCGGTCATATGGGCTTTCATAAGACGTTGACTCGTGCTTGCCGCCCATACGTTTGGCCGAAGTCCAAGGACTTCGTCGAAGCCTACGCCCAGGAGTGTGCTTCCTGCCAAGAGGTGAACAGTATGAACTACCTTCTGTATGCGTTGTTTCAGCTTCTACGCATACCTAAGGGTCGTTGGCAGTCTATCTCTATGGATTTTCTTGGTCCCCTCTGCCCTCCCACTGAGCGTGGTCATGATGCTATCTTGGTTGTCGTCGAGCTCTTTACGAAGTGTGCATGTTTTATCTCATGCCGCTATCGCATTAGCGCTCACAAGGTCATCGACATGGTCTTGTACCGAGTCGTGATAGATCACGACTTACCTCAGAGCATCATCTTCGACCGTGACCTACACTTTACCAATACATTTTGGCAACGCCTACACGAGGTGTACGAATCCCAGCTCCGCTTCTCGTCGTCTTACCACCCTCAAACTGATGGTCAGACTGAGGTCACCAATAAAACTCTCGGTAATATCCTCCGAAAGTTTATTAGGGATGATCAACAATGAGACTTACACTTAGCCCACGCGGAGATTGCGGACAACCATGCCGTTTCGCCAACCACGAGGATGTTGCCATTGTATTGCGACCTCCGCTACCACCTCGCTTACCCGGGAATTTCTTACGACCGTCGCGGTTGCGTCGAGACACTCGTTGTCATGCATTTGACGCCTGGATCGTCCACATGGCGATTATTATTAGGTGCGGCCACGAGAGTTTAGGTGACGTCGAGACCTGCATGGCCGCACGAGTGAACCGGTCACGAATGGATCATCCATTCAAAATCTGTGACGATGTGCTCGTCGACGCGCGCTACTTGCAGTTCGAAGTGAATACGCTTTGCAAGTTTAGGAGTCGCTTCTTCGGTCTATGCCGCATCCTTCAGGCGTCGGTTCTGATAGTGTCGCCAGTTCAGTCAGTTTGCGTGTGAAGCTACTTGATTACTGCGAAACACCTGCGGACGCTTCCGCAGGGTCGAGCTCGGAGGGCGGCCGTATTCATGTCCGTGGCCGCGGCTGGCCTCGGCCGCACCGCGGACATGAATTTACCTGATTTTTTTCGAATGAAATAATGGGTAAAATATATATATATATGTATCTGTCGGTTTTCCATTTGGTGTGGGTGAGTGATAGTCTACTTTGATGTTGGTTAAGGTAGATTATCATTTACAGTGTAATCAGTGAGGGGATTCTGCAGACTGTTGAGGGTTCAGCCTCCTGATGAGTCGGTGAAACTCCGCCGAAACAGTTTGTCACAGCCCCTCGTTTGTTGTCCTCTTCTCTCTCTCTGCCTACGGTTTACCGGGCAGTTCTGTTTGTGACGATATATATATATATATTGTAGGGATTTTCAAGCCTTACAACCCCATATTTTTTTTTTGGAAACAGATATTTTCTAAAATTATAAAAAATAAAAAACAGAAAAGGTGGAGAAGAGAAATTAAAAAATAAATTAAAAAAACAATTTTTTTTTTAGGGGGGGATTTTTGGTTGGCAGTTCTTTGTATTTTTCGCTTTTACGTATTTTTTGTTTTTTTGTCTGTTGTGTAATAAGAAAACAATCAAGTATTTGTGTGTGAACGTGTGTGTGTGTGTGTGTGTATGTGTGTGTGTGTGTATGTGCGTATGTGTGTGTGTATGTGTGTGTCAATGTGTGTATGTTTGTGTGTGAATGTGTGCGTGTTTGTGTGTGTGTGTGTGTGTGTGTGTGGACCTGGCCACGTTCGCTGCCGAGGGAGATTCGTAGCCTGATTACCTTCTTCAGGCTCGCGTACACGATGTATACCACACCTCCTTGTTGCTTCCTTATCGCAAACTGTCTGGGCGCTTTGCCGGATGTCCTTATGAGTGCTCTCCACCTATCATGGTGGACTGTTACGAGGAGTTCGTCGTTTCTGACATCGTATCTCGCCGAGTTACCGACGATACCCTTCCACGCATCGAGTACCTGGTGCGTTGGAAGGGCTATCCTGATGAGGAGGCCACTTGGGAGCCCCTCAAGCACTTGGAGCACGCCAGGATGTTGGTGCGTGCATATGATCGTGCTTGTCGTGCTGAGACAACTGCTCCTTCTCAGCGTCTGACCCTCTTCCTCCTCTGACTGAGGACATTGTTGAGGACGAGCCCGCTCCCTCTTAGGCCTTTCTTCAGCAACAGACGGACGCTTTACGCGTTCACAGCGCACTCGTCGATTCCCTCGGTGTCTTGACGATTGACACTCTTATCACCTAATTGTCTCCTACCACTGACTCACACTATCAGGTACTCCATCATCATCTTCTTCGGGATGTCAGCGTTTTGCGGCTCTGCTTCGACATCGACTCAACTCCTCCTTCATCGATGTCATCGATTACCTTGAGGACATCAACTACTTTATCGACTTCAACGACCTGTGACCTGATTACTTCACGCCACCACCCTACCTTGTGCATTCCCTTGTAAGTGTCGCATGATGGTTCTCACTTAGCTGATTCTCCTTGAGTTGGGCTCTCCCTTGGTATGGCATAGGCATTTGGACCGTAGCGTTATCTTGGCTTCCCTGCTCCCAGATCTAGCTCCCTCTCAGCCGGTGAGTTGTGTGCATGTTTTCCTCACCCACTACCCTCATCACCCTAGTGTGCCGGCTATTGCATGCCTTTAGTTAGGCATATCTCCACCCTATTCCAGACTCCCCTTTCATGGTCAACCTTGCATGGTGTCACCCTTTTTAGTCGAGCATTACCCGCCTTGATGATCTATCTATTAGGGTCATTGGTTTTGTTTTGATACCACTCCCTCACCCTGAACCTGATGATCTATCCCACCTTCATGTGTGACTGCCCTTAGGAGTTTCGATTCTTAGGCTGCATTCACCCCCTTTGAGACCATCCCACGCTTAGTGGTTCAGCAACACGAGATTATATTGTGACATATTGCTATCTTTTCCTTTCAGCGTTGAGGCAATTGCCTCCAGGACTTTAGGATTGTATCTTGCTAAATTTCATTTTCTGCTATTAGTTAGGATGTGTATACCAGACATTTGCTTTTATTTTGACATTATGTAGCTTAGGCTGCATCACATGGACTCCGCATCCTAAATTTCTCAGCTTTATTGCTGCAGAGTTCCGCTGCTTTGTCTGACGTGTGTTTATGGCTCTTGCAATCCACTACAGGTCTGAGGATTGTGCAACGTGCCTCTGGCTGCTCTAGCCTAGAGCCAGGGCTATTCAGCTATGTGCCTGTTCGGCTTGTGGGACCAGGCCGTGTACTGTTCAGTCCAGTCCAGTTCTGCCCGATACCACTGTCGGTACCAGGCCAGTCCAGTCCAGTCCTTCCACTGGGGGTATACCCCAGCTGCAGTCTGTTTTGTGGCCATTCTTCATTTGCACAGTTTGGAGTACGTGCGTGTTGAGTCTGCGTCGAAGCTGCGCTGTCCCTTCCAGCTCCATTTCCATCTCCCTCATCCTCATCCCTTGGTCTCGATCCTGACGGACCGCCACCCCGGCGGGTCCGTCACAACCCCTCCTTTCCCGGTATTTGCTGCCCACCAAACCCTGCAAAACTTGTGATTAAAGAATATTAGCGCGGGTATGCCCTGTTTGTGTGCGTGTGTGTCTATGAGTGTCTGCGTGCGCGCGTATAGCGTGTGAAAGGGAGGAGAAGAGGGGCAATGTGTTGGGTTGTTGTGGGGTTGTTTTATCATCTCAGGTTGCATGAGGGGTATTTGTTCTCATTGCTTGAGCTATATCCCATTATGGAAAGATTAAGAGGTGCCCGAAAGGGTTTCAAATGGTGGCTTTGTAGATATGCCCTGTTTTGGATCTGAGGCAAGGTGTTTGTCTTGTGTGGATTGAATGCAACTGAGAGTGGTAAAGCTCGACAAGAATAGGCAGTGAAATAGTTCCATGAGGGGCATTTGTTGTCATTGCTTACTCTATACCCCTTTATGGAAAGATGGTAAGGCACTCAGAAGGGTTTCAAAAGGTTGTCTTTGAAGGTATACCCACTTTCGCATCTGAGGCAAGTTGCTTGTCTTTATGTGCATTGAATGCAGGTGAGAGTGGTGAGGCTCGACAAGAGGAAGCAGTGAAATGGTTCCAGAAATCAGCACTGGCAGGTAACCTATTGAGCTGTGTAAACCCTAAACACTGACTATGGCGGACCTGGCTGCAACCGACAATATCCAGATTTTCTGGACACCATTAGGATGTCTGAATCTGATCTGAACAAAGGCATGTACCCCCCTTCCTTCCCCCGAACTGTAAAAAAGAGAATCCTCTATGCAAATATATTGTCACATTACGTGTAGAACCTGTGACATCCAACAGGGCCCATGTCCCCTTTACCCCAATTCTCAATCTCTGTCCGTAGATTACGAAGATCAACTTCCAAAAATGAAGAATCGGTGTAACCAGGAGAGAGAAAAAAATGGAAGAGGTGCCATTGTCACATCTTTCTGTTTGGTCTTCCTTCGTTTTCACGTATGTGCTAGTCGATAACCGTGTGACGTACTTTGACATGGGTAGCTCTCTGTGCATGTAGATTGAGTGGTGAGTAGTAGGCAGAATCCTTTTCATTCAGAAGAAGAGCCTGTTTTCTGACTTCCTTCACTTTTTACTCTGTCTGTCTCCCTCATTTTTCCTACCTTGATCTTCGCAACCTTTCTTGAGAATAGCCAATGCAACTTCGTGGTCGGATGATAGCCTACTTACTCGGCAAGTTGATTGAGTTGAGTTTCATAAGAGATTGATGTTGCCTATTTAGAAGTGGATTCGAACCACTGACACAAGGATTTTCTCCTTTGCTCCAACCAACTGAGCTACCAAAACAAAAACAAAATTGAACTGCGGCTGCGTTGACCATGAGCTTCTCCAGGAATTGTTAGCTAATTGGGCCATTTGCAATAAACTCAGTTCATGGCCACCCCGTCGGGGGCAAGGGTCGACTTATGGGCAAAAGGCCAGAAACAGGGGTCGAAGGTCACATCCCAAGTCTGAGAAATGTCTAGGAAAGGGCCTAAGATCAAGGGGTATCAGGGCCTGCATCAAAAACAGCGCCCATGTGAGGTAGTTGACTCTTGGAAAATCAAGAGTCAGACCAAACAGGGGAAAAGCAGGCCCAAAGTCAATGTCAACCCACCAGTCAGCACCGGCCAGGTATATCCGGAAGATTCCAGTCCCGACTGGGAAAAGGTGCCACTGCTTCAAGGCTGCATCCAGGCCCTCGAGATTGGACAAATCTGAAGCATTGACACCGGCAAAGGGGAGACTGGTCGAAGCCAGTCAACACTGGTCAACGCTACAAATGGACAGTCGGACACTGGGGAAGGCATTCTGCCTTGCGCTGGCTTGCTAGTGCTGTATCCCGAGGCTGCTGGAGTGGGATGCTGGCGCCAGATGCTGGAGGGCACCAACCTGAAGGGAGATTATGTTGGCACGGCCATAGCCACATAGATGTAGACTAGGTGATGAGGATTGGCGAGGAGGAGGAGGATCAGGGCTGTTAGACTGACGGGTTGTGAAGGGAAGCTTACCTGGACTTACCTGGCGATGACACGTGTAATCTGCTGCTGGTCTCCACGAAGGTGAGGAAGTGCAGTGCCATCCTCCACATCTTGTTGCTGACATCGATGGAGAATGGGCGCCCTGTGATGTTCTGCACAGTGACTATGTCAGAGGACGTCGGAGGGAACATACATTGCTGAAGTGGCGATAGGGGAGAAGCCTGAAGTGGAATTGGGAGAAAGAGAGAGACGTACATGTACTATTGATTGCCAATGCGANATACATTGCTGAAGTGGCGATAGGGGAGAAGCCTGAAGTGGAATTGGGAGAAAGAGAGAGACGTACATGTACTATTGATTGCCAATGCGACTCTCCTCCTCCTCATCTTTGTCTTCTGAGTAGCTGGAAGTTATTTCAATGCAGGTCCCGCGTTGAACCTTTCAACGCGCGTTGAAAACGTGGGGAAACTGCGTTGAACCCCCAGTTTATTGCGGTTCACCGCGACCCGGGAAGATTGTTTCGCAGGCAAAAAAAGTGCAAAAAATAAAACCAAAAATATAGGGTTGTAGATCTTTTCAATAACTACAACCCGCTATTTTTTATTTTAGTTTTTGAACATTCAATATATTTTAAAAATTTACAAACCATACAAAGAAAGAAAAAAGAAAAAACAAAGATGAGATGGGTGGGCTTTACTTTTTTTCACAGAGATTTTTTTGCGGGAAAAAAGTAAGGAAAAAAACAAATAAAAAATATAGGGTTGTAGATCTTTCGGAGAGCAACAATCCAACGTTTTTTATTGTTTTATTTTTACTTCATATGTATTTAAAAAAAACTTAAAAAACATAATAACCAAACACACACACACAGACACCCTCACACACACACACACAAATACCCTCACACACACACACACATACACCCTCACGCACACACACACAAATACACACACACACACACACACAAATACGCACACACACAGACATGAATACACAGAGACACACATGGACACATACACGCACACGCGCAACACACAGCCTTGTACGTAAGAGGCACAGAAAAAGGGGAGCTGCAAGAACAATGGAAGGGGTACCCCAAGGACAACCAAAAAACTGTCTAATTATAAAATTGCTTTTATACGTTGGACTGTGACTGTCTCATCTCAAATGCTCTCGTTGTCTGCAATAGGACAAAGACTGCTTTGATTCTGAATCTATTCATCTGGGTGGAATTGGGGCCGTTGTGGGGAAAATCTAACACACACACACACACACACACACGCAGAAGGGGGGCTCGCCGGGGGGGTCTGCCCCCCCCCAGCACAAACACAGACGNGTTGTGGGGAAAATCTAACACACACACACACACACACACACGCAGAAGGGGGGCTCGCCGGGGGGGTCTGCCCCCCCCCAGCACAAACACAGACGCACACACTCTCAAGCAGAATGCACAATCCGTTCAAGGCTGTACAGCACATACAGAGGACTTGACAACTATGTACACGAACCTGCCACACAACAGGATTCTTAACAATGTTCTGCATGCTGTTCGTGAAGCACATGATTATGCTTTGGGGCGGATCTCACAGGCCAGAAGGCCAGTACAGATGTACATGACTATAGGAGGTCCTCATCGTGGGGAGTGGGTTACTTCACATGGGTCAGACAACCTCTCGGTGTCAGAAATAGAGCATCATCTGCGGTTCGTGCTGAGGAAGTCATTATGGATCTCAAGCAGAATGCACAATCCCTTCAAGGCTGTACACCACATACAGCGGACTTTACAACTATGTACACGAACCTGCCACACGACAGGATTCTTAACAATGTTCTGAATGCTGTTCGTGAAGCACTTAGGGGCGGATCTCACAGGCCAGAAGGCCAGTACAGATGTACACGACTATAGGAGGTCCTCATCGTGGGGAGTGGGTTACTTCACAAGGGTCAGACACCCTCTTGGTGTCAGAAATAGAGCAACATATGTGGTTCGTGGTCTCTAATACTTGCCTTTATACAAGGGATGGCACTCTGCGCGATCAGGTGGTCGGTATCCCTGTGGCCAGTAACGCTGGACCAGAAATTGCCAACCTCACGTTTTATTGGGACGAAGCACAGTTCATCGATGATCTTCGTCAGCGAGATCTGCGTGCTGCGCAAGCATATGCATTCACATATCAATTCATTGATGACATTCTATCCTGGAAGACATTACCGCCGTCTCCTGCTCGGTATGGTCTTGAGTGAAAAGACACTACTGAGCAAGATGGGTCATGTCTTTTCCTTGGGGCAAGAATCCTGGTTCGGCCTGATGGCTCACTTTGATAAGGTCAAGACCTGGACGTTTCCTGTCATACGTTATCCCAGTGCTTCCTCCAACGCTCCAGCTCAACCACACGGGGATGTGGGCAGCTGCCGCTCAACCACAATCAACGTGGGCGGCCTTGTGCGTAAGAGGCACAGTAAAAGGGGAGCTTCAAGAACAATGAAAGGGGTACCCCAAGGACAACCAAAAAACTGTCTAATTATAAAATTGCTTTAATATGTTGGACATCTCAAATGCTCTCGTTGTCTGCAATAGTGATTCTGAATCTATTCACCTGGGTGGAATTGGGGCTGTTGTGGGGAAAATCTAACACACACACACACACACACACACNCTCGTTGTCTGCAATAGTGATTCTGAATCTATTCACCTGGGTGGAATTGGGGCTGTTGTGGGGAAAATCTAACACACACACACACACACACACACACACACACACACACACACACACACGCTCTGTGATGATCCACCTGAGATTCGGCTAGCATGTGGGCTGCATGCATTGTGTCACGAGGATTATGAAGGCACAGCCCGTGCATCTTTCTGTTTTCATACGTTTGATGACAGTCAATATTGCACTCATGTCCGGCACCCTGACATGGAATGTCCAATTTGTAGACGGGCTCGAACGGCAATGCCTCTACAATGGCGGCCGTGTGCCTCTGTGTTCCTTGCCTGTGGGAGCCATGTTGCCTGCGATATCTGTCTACGTCGTGCCATTCGGTGCAGCAACTGCAACTGCGAGAATTGGATGTGATGCTTCCACAGTCCGCACCCGAATCGGTGCTGTCCCGTCTGCAGAGTGGTCACCTACCATAAGCAACAGCTACTCCTCATCCTGCAACCCCAACACTGATTGACGTCTCATGTCATTCTACAGTCGTCTGCTCCAGCGGTCTGTGTAGGGAATCCTCTCTCTCTCTCTCTCTCTCTCTCTCTCTCTCTCTCTCTCTCTCTCTCTCTCTCTCTCTCTCTCTCTTTTTATTTTGTCCTCCCTGTTGTCTACTCCCTCTCCTTATGTACTACCAGTAAACGCATATGAATGCGCGTCATTGAGAGAACAGACAAAATATAATTACCCTTTGCCTCTTTTTATAGTGTGCAAGTGGGCCGTAAAGGCACACGGGGATGTGGACAGCTGGCGCTCAACCATCATCAACGTGGCCAGCCTTGTCACTACATATATAACTATCGTTAATTTCCTGCCTGTGACAAGCAGACGATCGTGGCCCTCCGATCTCTTGCTGCGCGACGGTATCGATCGTCTGCTGATCGTTTTGTCTTAGAA